GTAAAATATTATTTTCGGGGGAATGCAGTGGATCACGTTTCCATCTCCGATCGGACAAGCCCCTTTTGGACAAGTCGTACAATCACAGACACGAAAACAAGAAACATACAACACAAACTAAGAGAGTGGGGACTCGGGATGTCTGTGGATATCGCCCCAAAGTGGCTCTAAATTTAAAAAAAAAAAATCCATCATCACTTTCTAATTTTTTTGTTTCCTTTTTTTTTGCCGCCCTTCTTCTTCCGAGTCGAGACTGAGCTCCGAACCTTTCCTGGCCTGTGCCTCTCCTTCACTGGCAGTCGGTGTACTTGCTGACCGCCTTGGTGCCCTCGGACACGGCGTGTCTGGCCAGATCCCCGGGCAGCAGCAGGCGGACGGCGCTCTGGATCTCCCGGAAGGACAGGGTCTGCCTCTTGCTGTAGCGGACCAGGCGCGAGGCCTCGCACGCCAGGCACTCGAAGAGGTCGCCCACGATCGAGTCGAGCACCGCGGCGGCTGGGCCCGAGATGGTCCGCTCCGGGTAGATCTGCTTCAGCACCCGGCGGATGTACAGGCGGTAGCTCTCCCGGCGCTGGTCCTTGCGCCCCTTGTCGCCCCGGTAACACCCGCTCCCGGTTTGCCGGGGGGCCATTTCGGCCTCAACGATTGGCCTTTAGCTATCTGCCTGATCGGCTGATCGCCTGATCGATCGATCGAGAAGCGCGCCAACACCCGAGGGCTAGCCGCTGTCCGATGGACAGAGCGGCCGATCTCTCCCCTCACCACCTCCCTTTCCCCAGGTCCCACCCGCCCGGTGTCCTATTTAACTGCTGACGGCATGCAAATGAGGGATCCCAGAGTGCCACGTTCCGATTGGTCTATCCGACAAAATACCGTTGTGAGGTCACGCAACGTGTGTGATTTGGCCAATCAGGGACATGGGGCGTGGCCACAAACCCCAGCACCCCCCCCCCCCCCCCGCCCTGCATGACCCTCTCCCCACCTCCCCCAACACCGCAAACCACCCCAACCAACGACCTCATGGTCAAATTGCTACATTAAAATGGAGAACGGTCTGGGTAGGGAGTCATTCAAACGGTCTCCTGGTCTGGAGTTGGAGAGGATAACATTCAGATAGGCCAGAGTTTGGGGGCGGGGAGATATTCGGAGAGGCCCAGGGTCTGGGGAGGGAGACATTCAGACAGGGTCCCAGTCTGGGGTTTGGGGAGGGAGACATTCAGACAGGCCAGAGTTTGGAAGGGAGATATTCAGACAGGATCCTAGTCTGGAGTTTGGTGAGGAGACATTCAGGCAGGATCCTAGTCTGGAGTTTGGGGAGGGAGATATTCAGTCTGAAGTTTGGGGAAGTAGACATTCAGACAGGTGAGAGTTTGGGAGGGAGAAATTCAGACAGGTCCAGGCTCTGGGAAGGGAGATATTCAGACGGGTTCCTGGACTAGGATCTGATTTTGACTTGGGTTCAACTCCTCAACCCAGCAGCTTCTGGAATTTATTGCTAAAACAAATGCAAAGTACTGCCAGATGCTGAAGAATTGACTTTAAGAAAATGGCATAAACCACAGAAAGTGGTGGAGAAAGTCAGCAGATCTGGCCACCTCTGTAGAGAGGAAGAAAGACAGACTCTTCTTCAGAGTTTCTTCTTGGCTCTGTCTGAATTGAGGGTGGACAAGGCCACCGTGATATTAACAGAATCAGTTCTTCTCTAAATCTTTCTCCTTCCTACTTTTAACTCACTCATTATATCCTATGATAACAAGGCATGCTGGTAATGGGAATTTCTGAAGAAGGGACCAGACCTGAAACATCAGCCTTCCTGCTCCTCTGATGCTGCTTGGCCTGCTGTGTTCATCCAGCTCTACACCTTGTTATCTCAGACTCCAGCATCGGCAGTTCCTACCATCTCACTATGTCTTGCTACCTCAGTACTGGCTTCTGTAAAATTTCAAATGTCAAATTTCATTCCTCCAACTTCAAGGTGCTTTGTAAACTCTGGTTATTATTGTTGTTGGAAGTGGCCCACAAAACCGGGCTCCCAGAGACCAGCTCACTCCGGGATGGACTAACATCCCCCCTGTCCATCAGAGAAAAAAATAAAGTCCCCACCTTGACTAAAGATAGAGATAAAAACCACACATAGCATAAACAATCTGGGCTAGGAGGGATGGATAGATAGATAGATAAACATAGATAGATAAATAGACAGATAATTGGAACATAAAATGATGGCTGAATAACTAACAGTTCTGGCAGCAGCTGTGGAGAGACAGTGGAGTATTTCACTTCCCATTAAATGTTTAATTCCTACAGATCTTTTATCTGAGTGCTTGATTTCTGCAGCTTTTCAGTTGTGTGTTTAATTTCCGCACTGTTTTATTGAGTGACTAATTTCTATAGTCTTTGTATTTGAATGCTTAATTTCTGCAGACTTTGCTTTTTGGAGTTTAATATCCACATACCTTGTATTTATGTGTTTAATTCCCACAATTCTTTTAAATTGAGTGTTTAATTTCCGCATTCCTTGTATTTGAGTGATAAATTTCCGCAGAGAGAACTCTCAGTACAGCGTTAGCTGAAAGTGGGATCCAAACAGCCCACTGCACCGCCATCAGGTTCTCCCTGACCGCAAACCCATTCCTTCCCATTCTGCACACACCGAAAACGAGATTCCAAATCAATTTCTGATGAAGGGTCTAGGCCCGAAACATCAGCCTTCTTGCTCCTATGATGCTGCTTGGCCTGCTGTGTTCATCCAGCTCTACACCTTGTTATTCCAAATCCCTGGCAAGTTTCCGAAAACTCCTCCAAGTTGGGCCTGCGAGAAGGTGCTTTGGTAATGAAAAGTTTACCCCCACCTCACTTGTTGCTTGTCTCAAGGTCCTGTCTGAATACCTGATCCTTCTCACCTTCCTGTTTAAGGCAGCAAAAACCTCCATTTATATGACGCTTCTACTCTCAGAGATTAAGGGAAGCAACTGCCCTCACTGCAAAAAAATCATATGGGCTGCTTAGAAATGTAGAAAATAGTAACAGGAATAAGCCATTTGGCCCTTTAAGTCTGTTCATCCATTCATTGTATTAATCAAGACACTGAATACTACAGCAAGGAGATTATAATGGAGCTGTTTGATCTACCTGTACTGATGGACCCTAGTTCATTATTTAGTTAACAAAAAATATTAATTATGCCACACCTGGAGTATTGTGTGCAGTTCTCAAATCCATATCATAGGTGGGATTGATAGCACTGGGGAGGGATCAGTGGGAAATTTAGCAGGATATTACCCTGGGCTAGAGAGGTTCAGTTATGGAGACAGAATGGATAGGCTTGGGTTGTTTCTTTTTCTGAAAATAGAGAAGGCGAATGAGGATTTGATTGAGGTGTGCAGGGACACAGGTAGGGTAAATAGGGAAAAACATACCCTTCAGTAGAGGGGTCAAAACCAGAGGTCTTGGATGTGAGGTAAGGAGCAGAGGGGTTTGAGGGGATTTGTGGAAAGGATGTTTTCACCCCGAGGGTAATGGGTATTTGGAACTCGCTGCCTGAAAGAGTGGTAGAGCACATGAAACGCCATACTATGCAAGGCTACGAGGCAGGTGCTGGAAATGATGTTTGATGATCAGCGTGGACATAGAGTCATAGAGCTGTACAGTACGGAAACAGACCCTTCAGTCCAACTCATTCATGCCAAACAGATATCCTAAATTAATCTAGACCCATTTACCAACATTTGGCCCATATCCCTCTCAACCCTTCCTATTCGTGTACCCATCCAGATGCCTTTTAAATGTTGTAATTGTACCAGCCTCCACCACTTCCTCTGGCAGCTCATTCCATACACGCACCACCCTCTGCGTGAAAAAGTTGCCCCTTAGGTCCCTTTTAAATCTTTCCCCTCTCACTTTAAACCTATGACCTCTAGTTTTGGACTCCACTACCCTGGAGAAAAGACCTTGACTATTCACCATATTCATGTCCCTTATTATTTTATAAACCTTTAGATCTCTCAGCCTCTGACACTCCAGGGAAAATATCCCCAGCCTATCCTGCCTCTCCCTGTAGCTCAAACCCTCAGCCCCTGGCAACATCCTTGTAAATCTTTTCTGAACCCTTTCAAGTGTCACAACATCCTTCATATAGCAGTGAGACCAGAATTGCAAATAGTTTTCCAATAGTGGCCTCACCAATATCCTGTACAGCCGGAACTCCTAAACTCAATTCACTGACCAATAAAGGCAAGTATATAAAACGCCTTCTTCATAATCCTGTCTTACCTACGACTTCACTTTCAAGGAACTACGAACCTGAACCCCTCAGTCCCTCTGTTCAACACACCCCAGGAGCAAATTGCTGCAGATGCTGGAATCTGTAATGAAAGTACAAAATGCTGGAGACCACAGCAGGTCAGGCAGCATCGATGGAGAGAGAGCAAGCTAACGTTTCGAGTCCAGATGATTTTTCACTTCAGCTCTCATGAAGTCACCTAGAGTCGAAAAGTTAGCTTGCTCTCTCTCCATGGATCTCCAGCATTTGTTTTCAACACTTCCCCAGTACACCACCATTCGGACATGATGAGCTGAAATGCCACTATCCGTGCCCTAAGAAAATAGTCCAAAAACTGAAATCAAATCCGAATCAAATAAAAGCAGTAAAATGCTATAAAGTTTCCAGGTCATTTCTGACTCGCCTCATGCACTTTGTCTTATTTGTCCACATAGTTCTTTTCTCGCACGTGTCTTTGATTAAACCGATCAATAAATTAGTGCAAATTGCAAAACTTCTCAGTCATAGCCCTTTCTGATGCAATTGGCTGGCTCTTAAAAGAGCCTTTGGTTTCTATTGTGTTGTTTCGTTAAAGTAGAATGAAATAAAAACGTGGTTTAGACGAATACAATTCTGGGTATATCAAGGGGCTTGTTTTTAAAAAAAAATAAAACGTTTTTTCTATCCTCCGAATCCGTACAGGGTCCGCCCCTGTCTCTTCAGGGCGTAGACCACGTCCAGGGCGGTCACCGTGCGGCGCTTGGCGTGTTCCGTGTAGGTCACCGAGTCCCTGATGATGTTCTCCAGGAAAACCTTGAGCACTCCCCGGGTTTCCTCGTAGATAAGGCCGGAGATGCGCTTGACGCCGCCCCGCCGGGCCAGGCGCCGGATGGCCGGCTTGGTGATGCCCTGGATGTTATCCCTGAGCACCTTGCGGTGCCGCTTTGCTCCCCCTTTGCCCAAACCCTTGCCCCCTTTTCCCCGGCCAGTCATCACGCTATTTGAGAAGGCACCAAGGTTAAATCTTTCTGTGCTTTGTCTATGTGACTTTATCCACGCCCCAATCCATTCACTGAAAACCCCAGCCTGCAGTGAGATGAAAGAAAGCAGCCACCAGTTTTTATGTGGTGCCCGCGGACCTGGTTGAGGACGAGTCGATGGGCTGAGGCCGGGTTCACCGGAATTGGTGGGAGCGGGAAGAAATTGATACTTCGTTCAGGGAGATTTCTCAACAGTGAACAGTATTGTACTGCGACCGGGGAGAGAATTGTACAGACCTACATAGACACGAATGCACACAAATACGTCCAGAAACATTTAGTTCCAAACCGAAAGAACTGCAGATGCTGTAAATCAGAAACAAAAATCAAAATTGCTGGAAAAGCTCTGAGGATGGATCATTCGACCCGAAACGTTAACTCTTGATTCCTCTCCACAAATGCTGCCAAACCTGCTGAGCTTTTCCAGCGATTTCGGTTTTTGTTTTTAACATTCAGTTACAAACGCACACAGAAATATACAGACACACTCACGTTCACTTAAACACAGGCACACTGAAACACAAACAGACACATAGACACAGCCGCACAGATACAGACACAAGTATAGACACAGTCACACACCGACATAAACAGACACATAGACACAGCGACACAGACGCAGATACTCAGACACATGAGACAGATACATATACATGCGTAAAGATAAACACGGATACACACTGACACAAACATAAGCACAAACACAAACATCCACACAAACAGATACACAGACACATGACATAAACATATAGATACACATAGACTGAGACACACGTACATGGACTCACACGCACACAAGCACACAAAGTGGCATAAATATACATACACACCAAAGAACAGACACAGAGATAAGGCGTAGAGCTGGATGAACACAGCAGGCCAGGCAGCATCAGAGGAGCAGGAAAGCTGACGTTTCGGGTCTGGACCCTTCTTCAGAAATTGCTGTGAATGCTGAATCAGGAAACAGCAAATGCTGCAATATACTGTTAGAAAGTAGGCTAGGGTGTATTATGTCCCTGCAGGATGAAATTTTAATTAACATTTGTAAATTCATTGATAATTTGATTTTTTAACCCTCCTTTAACTTCCAATTCAAATTTGGTTCAATTTGTTTGATTTGAAGTCAACTATTTTACTTATCTAAACTACACTCAGAAAGTGGTACAGCATCAATGAAAATTAATAGATAAATGGTCTGACCATTCGGCTCACTATTTGCTTACTTATTGTGGACACAGATTTGTCTCCTCAAACTGTGGTCAGTGAAGTCCTTCTTGTTTTATATTTTGAAACCTTCCGGATGTACACTTTAGACCTTCCTGCAAACAATTCAGCAATCATCTCCACGTCTATGTTTGTCTTTGTGTTCATTCATGAGCTGCATAGTCGGTGTTTGTGCCAATATTTGTAACACATCCTTAATTACCGTGAAGAAGGTGATGCTGAGCTGCTCATCTGGAAGAAATGCAGTATGTTAGGTGCGGGGGCACCCAACATGCAATTAGGGATGGTGTCCTAGGATTTTGACCCAGTGAAGCTGAAGGAACGGAGATGTACTTCCAAGTCAGAATTGATGAGATACATTTCAGTTGGGATGTACAAAATTTATGAGGGTCATAAATAGGAAGAATCTTTCCATATTCGTAGAGGGGTCAATAACCAGGGGTAGCATTGACATAAGATAAAGGGCAGGTCGTTTAGAGGGCATTTAAGGGAGAAATCGTTTCACCTCGTGGTGGGTATAAGAAACTCTCTGCCTGAAATAGTAGTAGACCTAGGAGTTAGATGAGCATTTGAAGCACCGTAACATACAAGTATAGACGCCATTTGCTGGAAAATGGGACTAGAATGGATAGGTGCCTGATGACTAGCATGGACACACAGAACTGAAGGGCTCCCTTCAAAACAGCATGACTCAATGACTCTGATCCTACTTGGGTTTTCTCAAGCGATGCAGTGATGGTGAAATAGAAAGATATAGACGTTGGAGTATGTCTCAAACCTGAGCCAATCCAAGCCAGGAGACCCCTCACACGAGCCCAGTTGAAGGGCAAAACCTTTCAAGATGGCCAGAAGGCTACTGATGTAGCAATAGCTGCGGGTGAGCAGAGTCTTCTCTTTATCTTTCTCCCTCTTTCTCTCTCTCTCCCTGTCTCTCTGAAAATCCACCACAGCTGCCCTTGAAATGTCAGCAAAATCCTACAATTTTGAAAACTCTCTTTTGAAAAGTAGTTCGTGGGATTTCAGAAAGCCAAGGGTCACTGCAGATCCCCAGCAAGTAAAGCATCAGAAAGAGCAAGCAACAGATCCACTTGCTAACATGCAAATAAAAACTGCTAAGAATCATCCCTGATATAAACCTTTCCTTCTCCACTGGATTTTCACATGATGAGTTTTTAAAATTTATTCATGGGATATTGGCCTTGCTGTCTGGGCTTGGTATTTATTGTCTAATCCTAGTTGCATAGAGCACAGTTAAGAGTTAATCACATTACTATGTGTCTGGAATCACATGTGAGCTAGACCAGATGAGGATGGCAGATCTCATTTCTTAAAGGACGTTAGTGAGCTCACATTTTTCAGTGCAAGTGATAATGATTATTTGTCTGCCATTAATTTTTATTCCAGATTATTCCAGAGGCATTTTATGCCAGATTAATATTGGATTTAAATTTCACAATCTGCCCTGACGGGATTCTAGCCCATGTCCCAGAACATTAGCTTGAAGATCTGGATTACTAGTCCAGTGACATTACCTTCATGCCACCATTCCCCCTTAATAAACTTTGATTTACAATACTGTGTTTTTCTAATTAGACTGGAAAATCATACGGAAGTAACATTCATATTTTAGAGTTGATTTCTCAGTAACTGTCTCCTAATTCGTTTGGTATGCTTCTGAAGTTAATGGTCAGCTCTTGCATTCCCTTTTATGAAAAAATTGGGAATTGGGAAGCATGTCCAGAAATTAGAAATCGACACTCTACTTTCGGACTGTTTTGTGATGAAGAGCTGGTGCCATGATGGAGACCACTCAAGAGAGTTTCAGCAGAGGAGGAGATGGGGTGAGCAATAGCCCTGGCAGAGAAGAAGGTACCTCATATACTCACCTCATTACTGCGGAGGTAAAATGTGTGTTTTGGGTTGGCTGCCCATTTCAAGAAAAAAATAACCGTGATAGTTCCATTGAACTTAATGTAGTATTTTCCCATCATGGAGGGGGCAAGACTCACCAGAGGGTTTGGCAATTATTTGAAACAAAAACAGAAACCGCTAGAGAAACTCAACTCAATCCATGGAGAGAGAAATTGAGTTAACATTTTGAATTCATTATGCCTCTTCCTCAGAAAAGTTGAAAGTTGGTTGTCACAGACTTTACGACATGCTGCTGACTAATTTTCTGCACGGAATGGATTCAGATCCCGACACTACAGATGGGGAAATCAGTCCTACATAAAAATCAGAAATATTAAGTTAGACTAATGCGATCACATAACCATTGTCAATAGTTATTAATCACCATCTCGTTCCCTAATGTTTTTTGGGGAAGGAAACTGCCATCCTAACCTTATCTGGCTGACATGTGACTCCAGATCCACAACACTATTGAAAACTAGGGGAATATTTTTAAAGTGAGAGGAGAAAAAAAAAAAAAAGTGTGGTTCGTATGTGGAATGAATTGCCAGAGGAAGTGGTGATACAAGTACAGTTATAATGTTTAAAAGGCGTTTAGATAAGTACATGAATAAGAAACGTTTGGAGGGATATGAGCCAAATACAGGCAAGTGGGACAAATTGGGTTTGGGAACATGGTCGGTGTGGACTAGTTGGACCAAAAGGCCGTTTCCATGCTGTATGACTCTATGACTGTAAATAACCTGTTGCTTCATCAATTTCTTTTAAAAGACTTAGATTTAATATAGGAGAAAATTATGGCAGATGCTAGAATCTGTGCTGAAAACAAAAAGTGTTGGAGATCACAACACGTCAGGCAATATTCATAGAGAGAAAGCAAGCTAACGTTTCAAGTCTAAATGAGTCTTCAGCTCTGATGAAGATTCATCTAGACAAAACATTAGCTTGAATTTTATATAGTCTATTTGATGGCTTCATAGCTTTTCAAAGTAGTATACAGTCAAAAGAGGTACTTTTGCAGTCATTTGTATTTTAGGAGTGCAGCACTTTCAGAAGTGCTGTCTTTTTCAAATGAAACGCCAAAACTGGGTCCTGTTTTGGGTACCCCCTCAAACAGACATAAAAACAGAAATCCTTGGCACTAATGTGTTCTGGGCCCACAGTAATTTCTCATTAACCACTACCGAAGTGAAGAAAAACAGAATATCTAGTGACTATTTATTTGCTGTATGTGCGAATTTCAAGTGTACAAACTGGCTAGGGCAAGTCAGCAGTGGCCATATTTCAAAACAAAGAATGCGTTGTAAACTTCGTAGAAGGCGACGCAAGAACACAAGACATTTATTTATTCATTTTGATTCATTTGTGGGGAGCTTCGGGTCGAGAGGACGAGCCTGAAATGAAGATTAAGTTTGCATCGGTGCTTGTCATAGAGGCACCCAGGCAGAGAACGATTGGAGATCCGACCAAATTAGGTTTGCGCACACAGTGGAATGGGAGCTTTGAAGACCTTGTAAGTGAAGGTGGTTTAAAAAAATGCTTGCGCTTCATTTTGATTTTGCAGGGACTGGCAGGCATGGAGAACGCTGCACAAATCCCGACCGCCCTCAGAGCACGTGCCGGGGCCAAGGACTCGTCTCTTTCACATCCGCCTTAAGGATTGAAAAGGCTCCGGAGCCGCCGCCCATTCCTTCATTTTGATCGCCGCGGCATCGGAGGCGGACACTGGAGGGGAAGGGGGGAGGGTGAGGGCAAGGTGCCGCCCGGCGTTGTCAGCCACCGAAATGGCTTCGGGCGACCTGATCCAAGGCTCTTCTCGGGGCAGGAAGGGGCGGCGGCGGAGGAGCCCGCCTAAAGTGCGGCAAGTGGCAGCCGCGGGTGGGGGAGCGCCCACCATGGCCGGGCACATCCTGGAGGCGGTGGCGTCTTCCCAGGAGCGCCGCGGTCTGTCGCTGGCCGGGGTCAAGAAGGCGCTGTCAGCCGCCGGCTACGATGTGCCGCGGATCAACTCGCGGGTGAACCAGGCGGTGCGGAGCCTGGTGTCCGCAGGCTCGTTGCTGCGGACGGCGGGCGCCGGGGCCTCGGGCTCCTTCAAGATCAACCGGCAGCAGCACCACGAGGACGGGCAGAGCCGCCCGGTGCCAGCAGCG